TGAGACTCTTTCCTTATTCTTTCAGATTTATATTTCCTGGCGTTGCTAGCTCAGTCAGTAAATATTCCAGTCTAGTCTTTCCATATACAGCGAATAAATTTGTTCCGATAGGAAGATTTATATTGCAGATTCCTGTACAGAAGAACTCAAACCAGTGATGCTCTTAGAATTAGTTTGACCATGTCCAAGGCAAAACTAGTCACTGACTATAAAATAAATGATCATTTTAAGGCCCGATAATCCAAGATGTCACTCGAGTTAATAGGATTTGAGGTTTTCATGGCCGTGAGTCTGAAGATTGCCGTCTTCTGGGTTGTAGACCGTGCAGTTTGGTAGAGGTTTTAGAGGGCCCTGCTGCCTCCATGCACTCATCGCTGTGATGATGGGAGGTAGCAAGGACCTCTGAAATGTTAGTATACCTCTACCAGTCCGCACAGCGCTACGACCAGAAAATTGCCATCTTATCACTCCGGTTGTTCCTCAAGGCATTGAAGCTGCTGCGGCCTTAATCATGGTTTGTTAATCCATCTGGCCTGAAGAATTCAGACTGGTTCTAAGCTTATTATTGGTTTTATATGTTTATTGTGGTCATTTTAACTTCTACCTTGAACATGGAGGCACTAAGCTCATCTGGAACTTCTGAAATTCCTTTCAGAGAAAAGTGGTGCTTCAACTAAATATACGCACCGTACAGTTTCAGACGTGGTTAATTAACTGATGTTTGGTAGACTGACTGCAAAGGTCTTGAAACTAGAGCACACGGACTACATCTATTTCTTGCATAAGGTACAGTGTTACTTGTTTGACTTGCACCTGTGAATGGGATGCCTGCTCAGTGTCTGTGGGTGCGATTAACGCTGACCATTGCCTCATTATTCTGAAAAAGGATAAGCTGATCATGTTCCCACATCACATGTGCCAGTAAACTTATTATGTTCACGTAACAAAATTTAAGTTTGGATTCATTTCTGATATGTTAACTTCAAAAAAATTTTGAACAGTTTCAAAAAAATCTTGGTTTTGTGCGCGTTTTAGACAATTTCCAGCATTTTTTTTATTTATTTTTTTTAAAAATTTCCATAATTTCTTCGAAATTTTCCCTACGCTATACCTACCAGTAACGGCCACCGACACACACGGCCTCTGCCCGACTTGGTCTGTGCGACACCCAGTCCCTGCTAGTCTTGATCTCTGCTGGACACCCACACTGCCGGACTCAGTCTTTGCGATATCCAGTCTCTGCTGGGCTTAATCTATGCTTCACACAGTCTATATATAAATATTTTTCTAAACTGTCCCCAAGAGAGGTGCCTGCGAAACTCGGTGAATGCCTCATCCTGTCTCTGCAAGACTCGTCCTCCATCTCATCAGGTTGCCAAATCCCTCGGTGTCTGCAACAACCGACCTCTGCAGGACTCGGTCTCCGGTGGTGAGCGTCTGCCTTACGTGTTGCCTATCGCACATGGGCTTCTCAGAGACGTCACGTCATAGCCGTCATACAGAGACCGGCCCGTGCAGAGCAAGAGTCAGGCACAGACCGAATTCGTCAGAGACACAGTGCATCAGAAACAGTCCGGGAGAGACAGGTTCTGCAAGGCATCAGGTCGTGAAGTTTTGAAAAATTTCAAAATTTTCATAAAAATCAAAAAACGCTGGAAATTTTAAAAAAATTAAAAATGGCGTGAAACGCGAAGAAAACTAAAAATTTTCGAAATTTTCGACAAAAATTTTTAATTCAGAATTTTTAAAAAAAAATTTGGTTTTGTGCGCCTTTTGGACGATGTCTTACGTTTTTCGAAAAATTTTATATTTTTGTCACAAGTTTCTCCACGATATCCAGGCCAGGACCGGTCTCTGCACGACCCGGTCACTGCCGATCCCTTTCTCTGGCGGACGCGGTGTCTAACGGACTCGCTCTCTGCAGGATACGTTCTCTGTATCTTCATATATTTCGTTGTGAGAACTTCAAATCCCAAGAATGAGGCAAGTAAAAAAATTACGAATTTTTTAGTTCTGAAATTTACAAAACATCTCAAAACTTTTACAAATGTACTAACTAACTAACTAACTAAATGGCTTACCGAACCCGAAGGTTCATCACCGAATTAACCAAAGCCCTCCACCGGACCCTGTCCTGGGCCAACAAAATCCAGTTTCCTTCAACTCCTATCTCGGATAGATCCCGCCTGAGATTATCCTCCCATCTTCGTCTAGGTCTCCCCAGCGGTCTCTTCCCTTCAGGTTTCCCAACCAGTACCCGGTGCACACCTCTTGTCCCATCCATGCGCGCTACATGTCCCGCCCATCTCACTCTTCTCGACTTAATCACCCTCACAATACTGGGGGAGCAGTACAGATTTTTAAGCTCGTCATTGTGCAGTTTTCTCCACGCCCCATCGTCTTCCCTCTTAGGCCCAAATATCCTCCTCAACACCCGATTCTCAAACACCTGCAATCTGTGTTCCTCCCTCTGAGTGAGAGACCATGTTTCGCACCCATACAAAACAACAGGCAAGATTATTGTTTTGTATACTTTAATTTTCAGGTTCTTAGAAATCAGACGGGAAGACAAAATATTTTGGACTGAGAAGTAGCAAGCATTTCCGGAATTTAGTCTCCTCCTAACTTCCTCACAAGTATCATTTTGATTTGTTATTGTTGTTCCCAAATATTTGAACTTTGTAACCCTTTCAAAGGATTTATTAGCTACCCTAAGATAATTTTGCCCGCCTGTCTTCTGATGACGAGATACTAACATGTACTTAGTTTTTTCTGAATTTACTTCCAGCCCCACTTGTCTACCAGCCTCTAGTAAAACTTCTGCGTTCCTCTTTATTGTATTTATATCGTCCCCCAATAAATTAACATCATCAGCATATGCCAATAGCTGATGTGTCCCGTTCAATTGCAAACCCTCCTGCCTACCTTGGACCTTCCTGATGGCGTATTCTAGCGCAAAGTTAAAGAGCAAGGGAGACAAAGCATCTCCTTGTTTTAGACCGTTCTTGATGAGGAATGTCTCAGATACATATTTACCTACTCGAATTTTGCTGCAGGTTTCATTTAAGCACATTTTTATTAGACCCACTAGCTTCTTTGGTATACCAAATTCAATAAGAATATTATATAGCACTTCTCTCTTCACAGAGTCATAGGCTTTTTTGAAATCTATAAATAACTGATGTACAGTCCCACCGAACTCCCATTTTTTCTCTAGTATCTGACGAATGCAAAAGATCTGATCAATCGTTGATCTGTTTCGTCTGAACCCACACTGATGATCCCCAATAGTTTCATTCGCATATGGGGTTAATCTTGCCAAAAGAATGTTGGATAGAATTTTGTATGAGGTTGATAGCAGCGATATTCCTCGGTAATTACCACACTCAGTCTTGTCCCCCTTCTTATAAATAGGAATAATTATGGATTCCTTCCATTGATGTGGCATCTCTTCCTTATCCCAAATTAACTGAATAAGCTTATGGATCCTCATATGCAACCCTTTGCCACCTGCTTTAATTAATTCGGCCGGAATCTGATCAATTCCTGGAGATTTATAACTTTTCAACTTCCCAATGGCTAGTTCCACTTCATCTAAGCTAGGTTCTGGGACCAACAGTTCAGCTGTATGCATTTTAATCTGTCTAATATCACCAGTATTATGAACATTTAAGAGCTCGCTAAAGAAATTTTTCCACCTATTCACAATTTTTATTGGATCTGCAAGCAAATTGCCACTATCATCCTTTACCAAATTAGTCTGGGGTTGATATCCTTTCTTAAAGTTATTAATGCCTCTGTACAGGTCTCTGATGTTTTTTTCTTTATTATTTGTATGAAGTTCAGCAATTTTGCCCTTCAGGTATTCCCTTTTCTTAGTCCTAAAGGTTCTACTAGCCTCACGTCTCACGTTACATAGATTATCCGCATTTGTTTTGTTTGGGTTCTGCAACCATTGAAATTTTTTTTGCTTCCTTCGATCTATTAATTTTGAACATTCTTCATCAAACCACGGTTTATTTTGCTTTCTCCTGTAGTATCCTAGTTTCTCTTTTGCTGAAATTTTGATGCAGTTTCTGACATTTTCCCACTCCCTGTTGATGTCCACACTTTCATTATCCTCATTTGTCTCTAAAATTTGAAACCTATTCGAAATTTCAACTTGATATTGTTCCTTTGCCTCTCCCTCACTTAATTTGTTCAAATCAAATCTTTTTGTGTCAAAATTTTGCTAAGTTCGCCTGCTTACTGAAAGCCGCTCCCTCACTTTTGCTACCACCAGATAATGATCAGTGTCACAATCTGCTCCTCTGAATGACCTCACATCAGTTACATTTGTCTAAAAATGTTCAACATTTAAAATTTACTAAATTTGCCTAAATTAACACAAAACATAACGTAACCGAACCCAACTAAGTTAACATGTCAAAAC